AGACCATTCAGCGGACAGGCAAGGCAGCTGGGCTCCATCCCTCATCTCAGTCTGACAATATAGTTACCATCCTACAAGTGTGTCTACCTTCAACCTACGATATCTCCATTTAAGAACCCTTACGATATAGTGAATAATATTAATAATAATAATAATAATAATAATAATAATAATAATAATAATAATAATAATAATTTAACTTGTTATATCAAGCTGGTAAAATTTTTCCTCTGTGGATCTTCGAAAATATCTTCTGCATCAGGTGACTCACATCAACCAAGCTCTGATGGGTTAAATTATAATTAACACTAAAGTGATCTCGTCCAAGACAGTAATAATTTAACTGACTCGTATAATGAACCTATAATTTTCTTTTAGTGCAAACATTCGTAATTCTAATTCACTTGTAAAAAATTTAAAATGTTAAATCATGAATTATCGTAGCCTACGAGATGCTGGAAAATTTGTCACTTGATGAAGTGACACAAGACAGTCACGCTGCGGAAGTATTAATTAATGGATGTGGGCGCTTCCGTCCCAGATAAATATGGCGGAAATAAATCGATTTATAGACGATACTGGCACATACTTTTACTACAAGATCTTAAAGACAGTAAAACACACCAAAAGTTCAAGTCGATTAGATGATAATTTCTCACCTGACTAGTAACTCTGAGGTCAGTTTTCCGAACAAGTTCGGAAACCAGACGAAATCCGTTAAATTTATTTTAAATTTACAGGACAAAGTCAACCCAGAATTGTTTATTTTTGTTTGATGATGGAAAAACATCCTTATTCCAATTTTTGTTTGGGCAATCTATATTATCAAGGTTTCACTGTTTTCTTCCTTGAGCTCAATGGATTATTCAGCCATGTGCTGTATAGATTTACCTGGAGAGGGTTTCGGGGGTCAACGCCCCCGCGGCCCGGTATGAGACCAGGCCTCATGGTGGATCAGGGTCTGATCAACCAGGCTGTTACTGCTGGCCGCACGCAAGCTGACGTACGAACCACAGCCCGGTTGGTCAGGTACTAACTTTAGGTGCCTGTCCAGTGCCTTCTTGAAGACAGCCAGGAGTCTATTGGTAATCCCCCTTATGTATGCTGGGAGGCAATTATAATGGTTCACTTATACAAGCATGACGCTGTAATATCATACCATATAATAATAAGAACCCCCTTTCCTGTATTTTATGTCCATATTATATATGTCTTATGTAAACATTAATAAACTTGTTAGATAAGAATATTAATATACAGTCCACTTATCAATATCTTAATTAGACTTCAGATCGTGAATTATCATATAAAATTGATCAAAAAGAACGATTTATAGTAAGCCAGGTTTTTGTGTACAAATATCACTGGTTCTGACGGGGGTAGGTCTAGCGGGGGTTGGGTCTGAGAAGTGTTGAGAGTTACCACAGTGATGACCAAGTTAGAGTTACCACAGTGATGATCAAGTTAGAGTTACCACAGTGAAGACCAAGTTAGAGTTACCACAGTGATGATCAAGTTAGAGTTACCACAGTGATGATCAAGTTAGTTACCACAGTGATGATCAAGTTAGAGTTACCACAGTGATGACCAAGTTAGAGTTACCACAATGATGACCAAGTTAGAGTTACCACAGTGATGACCAAGTTAGAGTTACCACAGTGATGATCAAGTTAGTTACCACAGTGATGACCAAGTTAGAGTTACCACAGTGATGACCAAGTTAGAGTTACCACAGTGATGATCAAGTTAGAGTTACCACAGTGATGATCAAGTTAGTTACCACAGTGATGACCAAGTTAGAGTTACCACAGTGATGACCAAATTAGAGTTACCACAGTGATGACCAAGTTAGAGTTACCACAGTGATGACCAAGTTAGAGTTACCACAGTGATGACCAAGTTAGAGTTACCACAGTGATGACCAAGTTAGAGTTACCACAGTGATGATCAAGTTAGAGTTACCACAGTGATGACCAAGTTAGAGTTACCACAGAGATGATCAAGTTAGTTACCACAGTGATGATCAAGTTAGAGTTACCACAGTGATGCCCAAAATTTTAGATTTTACCACAGTGATGACCAAGTTAGAGTTACCACTGTGATGATCAAGTTAGGGTTACCACAGTGATGACCAAGTTAGAGTTACCACAGTGATGACCAAGTTAGAGTTACCACAGTGATGACCAAGTTAGAGTTACCACAGTGATGATCAAGTTAGACTTGCCACAGTGATGATCAAGTTAGTTACCACAGTGATGGCCAAGTTAGAGTTACCACAGTGATGATCAAGTTAGAGTTACCACAGTGATGATCAAGTTAGACTTGCCACAGTGATGACCAAGTTAGAGTTACCACAGTGATGATCAAGTTAGTTACCACAGTGATGACCAAGTTAGACTTGCCACAGTGATGACCAAGTAAGAGTTACCACAGTGATTATCAAGTTAGTTACCACAGTGATGACCAAGTTAGACTTGCCACAGTGATGACCAAGTAAGAGTTACCACAGTGATTATCAAGTTAGTTACCACAGTGATGATCAAGTTAGACTTGCCACAGTGATGACCAAGTTAGACTTGCCACAGTGATGACCAAGTAAGAGTTACCACAGTGATTATCAAGTTAGTTACCACAGTGATGATCAAGTTAGACTTGCCACAGTGATGACCAAGTTAGAGTTACCACAGTGATGATCAAGTTAGTTACCACAGTGATGACCAAGTTAGACTTGCCACAGTGATGACCAAGTTAGACTTGCCACAGTGATGACCAAGTTAGACTTGCCACAGTGATGACCAAGTTAGACTTGCCACAGTGATGACCAAGTTAGACTTGCCACAGTGATGACCAAGTTAGGCTTGCCACAGTGATGACCAAGTTTACTGCAGATTCCACACTGTCACTTGAAGGGTAGTTTAATTAACAGTTTAAATACTGCGTAAGTGAAACGTTACAGTCAACAGTAACGATGTCAAACTGTTGCACATGCGTCTTACTCTTTCACTTGTTGGTATTATATACTTAAGTCACCATAATTTAAACTCCCATACATCTGCAACACATGCCATATTGCACCCCTGTCAGTATCATGTGCCTTTTGAAAATTCATGAATGCAACAAGAAGTTCGTTGGTCTTGTCTGACTATCGTTCACACATCAGCGTCATTCATAACACTTGGTAAACTATCGTTCACACATCAGCGTCATTCATAACACTTGGTAAACTATCGTTCACACATCAGCGTCATTCATAACACTTGGTAAACTATCGTTCACACATCAGCGTCATTCATAACACTTGGTAAACTATCGTTCACACATCAGCGTCATTCATAACACTTGGTAAACTATCGTTCACACATCAGCGTCATTCATAACACTTGGTAAACTATCGTTCACACATCAGCGTCATTCATAACACTTGGTAAACTATCGTTCACACATCAGCGTCGTTCATAACACTTGGTGAACTATCGTTCACACATCAGCGTCATTCATAACACTTGGTAAACTATCGTTCACACATCAGCGTCATTCATAACACTTGGTAAACTATCGTTCACACATCAGCGTCATTCATAACACTTGGTAAACTATCGTTCACACATCAGCGTCATTCATAACACTTGGTAAACTATCGTTCACACATCAGCGTCATTCATAACACTTGGTAAACTATCGTTCACACATCAGCGTCATTCATAACACTTGGTAAACTATCGTTCACACATCAGCGTCATTCATAACACTTGGTAAACTATCGTTCACACATCAGCGTCGTTCATAACACTTGGTAAACTCGTCTCCAACATTCTAAGATTCTCATTCTTTTACATTCCTATTTTGTGTCTTTTCCCATATTCTTTCAATGAAACTTCTACTGTAATGCTGTGCATATCATGGATTTTTAATTTTTTTTATACATTATTTCTGAAAAATATTTTGAAAAATAAAAATTCATATTCTGAATTACTTTATCCCTTTTATTCAACAGATTTATTCTCTTATGATTATTACTCTTTAGTCCCCTTTCACTATATAATAATAATAATAATAATAATAATAATAATAATAATAATAATAATAATAATAATATCTTTATTTACTACATGTACAAGGTATACAGTCCTAGCTGACATCAATGACATACTACTATATAGAAAGCCGCTTGTTCTGCAGAGCATTTCGGGCAAATTAGGTCCTTGTCCCAGGATGCGACCCACACTAGTCGACTAGCTCCCAGGTACCTATTTTACTGATGGGTGAACATAGACAACCCGTGTAAAGAAACACGCCCGCTCTTTGTCAAACTTTCGGTTCTTTCCCTCCTTCTTTCATGCTTATGTTAAGCAAATACCTGGAGTATACCAAGAGGGTGTTAGGGGAGTCAAAGCCCCCGCTGCCGGTCCAAAATTAAATCCCTGCCTGCTTTTAGCACCTCAGTTTTAATCCTCTCTCCTAATTCTGTCATCCTCTACTAAAACGAGTGGAAGGAGGTATTGCCTGGAAGCGTTCATTAAGGTAAGTAACAACAATACAAGTTTACACTACAACATATCTTCATAGTTCAAACATTTCGTGTGCACGGCAAGCTGCTTCAGTGGAATACAGAGGCGACTTTTATAATGGAAGATCTTCCACTGTCTCCTGTTTCAGTCGCCTTTGTAATATACAGAAGAAGCCCGATGTGCTGACACCTAGTTTCTAGTATAAAGACACCCAAGTGATACACCTGTGTCTTATTCATCAGTTTGTAAAACATATTCATCACTTACTGCTGGTCAACCTTCCTATACGTATCCCTGAACACTTAACGTAAACTCTACACCTCACTCAGATATTTACTGAAGAAGTAGTTTTTAGTTGTCTGTAGATCTGATTAAAGATGTTCTAATACTGAGCGAAATATCGTCTAAAAGGTTGTTGTGCATTACGTATTAATACCAACTTTTGGCTCGTTGCCGCAGTCACCGCCAGGATACAGTGTGTGGGTTACTTACTGTTCTCACACCATGGATGAGCACCAAAGCTGCAATGATGTAGATGATGGCCACAAGCAAGAGGATGGAGAAGAAGATGTAGGCAGCTGAAAAATATCACTAAGTATTAACAAAATTGTCGTAGAGTTATACAAAAAATCGTTCTATCAAATAAAATTAATTTTTTTCGCTTATAAAAGAGCTATCCGAATGATTTGTGAAACATTTACTTAAGGTTAAAATAAATTGTTAGTGTTGTCATTTTTAATATTTCACTAAATTTAAAATGTCAAAGACATGAATGAGTTATTTGTACTGACAGAAGGTCAGCAAAACGTTTAAAATACCGACATATAACAAAACGACACTAAATGCAGGAAGCCTTTATTGTTAGAACGCTTTACCCATGGGAGTGGTAGGGACGGGAATGTAAATTTGATCAAGTACTCAGAAAACACAAGAACGATGCCTCTTAAAAAATGCACTCAACGACTGAAGTCAGGTGTTAGATCAGGATATAGAGCATCAGAGAAGCACTGAAGGAGACCTACTGGCTCATGCTATACTTCAGTTAAGTTTGTGTTATTTAAAGATGATGTGGGTGATGGGTGTGGCCAAGGTGAACTTGCCTCCATTCTGGTTAATGGTGTTGGATTGTTTGAGAGTTGAAGAGTAAATTTAATTTTGCCATTTTCCTGCAGTAACAGTGGAGCTCTATCCCACACCATGATGTGGACGTGGGAGATGAAGTGTCATACTCAAGCATTACTGATGCTGCCAATGCGACATGTCTACTTGTTATCTTACGAGTGTGTGAGAAGACTTCTGGAAGTTTCTCCAATGCAGACCATGTTGTATATACTGACAACTGCTGTGTCTTTAGATACAGTGACGAATGTGGAGCAGCTTGCAGTTTGTAGCTACATCAATATTGTATTACATAGTATACATCAATGTTGGTTATGGTAATGATCAACAAAGTCATTAACTTCTTGCACAAACATGATACCTTCATAACCAATTTCAAACTTCTTTGATCTAGTGGAAGCTTGTGTGAGCTTCAATTTCTTCTTTGGTTCACTACAGTGCAGACACAAACTTGGGATGGCTATGGGGTCACCTCTGAGCGCACCATTAATCAACATTTACTTACAACACTTTGAAAAAAATTGCCCGAATGCCATTATACGACGACACATCACATGGCTGAATTATGTCTATAAAATTTTGGAGGTGATATTTAGGAGCTTCAATTAGTGACAATTCAGAGACCAATTCAACCACCTTGAACCTTCAATACAATTCATCCTATAGAAGGAAAAAAATGACACGCTACCTTTCTTGGATAAATTTCTTATCAGGCAGAGGACCAAGCCAAGAAACCCACTAACACAATATAATAATAATAATAATAATAATAATAATAATAATAATAATAATATATCTTTATTTCTATAAGTACATGTACAAACTAAATAGTTCTAGCTGACATCAGTGACATACTACTATATAGAAAGCCGCTTGTTATGCAGAGCATTTCGGGCAAATTAGGTCAATTTTGTCACAGGATGCGACCCACACCAGTCGACTAACATCCAGGTACCCATTATTTCTGATGGGTGAACATGGACAATGGGTGTAAGGAAACACGCTTAATGTTTCCACCCCTTCGCCGGGAATCGAACCCGGACCCTCACCGTGTGAAGCGAAAGCTTTTGCCACCAGGCCACGGTATCCCCTGGCCTGGTGGGAAAAGCTCTTTTACTTACATTATGATATTAAAAAAAATGAAAGGCATAATTCGTGATGATTTACTAAAATCTTGACAAGAGTACATATAACTTGAATAGATCTCAAATTCTGTAATCCTTCACCGCAAACACTGGCACTCAGATACAGAGTACTGCCAGAACTCAAAGTAATACTGACTGCAAACTCATCTTCCCAGTGACACTACAACAGTCTCTCCAGTCTTACACTGATAATACTGAGGAAGCCGTAATTACTTTCATGATAATCAGAGATACCACAAGATCCTCCACATCATATACTGCACCCAAAGACGCTGGGGTTTATAGTGTCTCTTGTGGGGGGATACTGTAAGGTCTACATATCTGCAGTGGTGATTTGTTATTCCAGTTCTTGATGTTTCACTTAACTTCAGTAGTAGAGTGTACTATTTAACTTGTTAGGCGTTAAGAAAAACCTGAAAAAAAACTTCCGCTCCTCTTGGATAAAACATTGTACCAGTAAAGGCTTCCTTGCATTTAATGTCTTCTTACCACTAATAGGAACAGTGATAATATATGTTAAATACAGTATACGTGTTAAATTTTTACTTAATTGTTCATGTGATATTAATTTTAACAAATTTAAATCACATTCGTAAAACACACCTGCATCTGATTCAGGGTCCACGATACCGAATGTCACAGCATTGTCGAACTTGAGCCTCTTCTTCGTGTCCTCGACATTGAACAAGCAATAAATGGCAACCACGAGCTGTACCACACCAATACACTGTAAAAATAAAATAAAATATTTAATTTTCCTCCATGTCTTATGTCTTCCTTGTACATGCCTGTCCTTAAACTTAAGACTGTTATGAAGTTGAGTGTCTGATAATTTGCCATTATACACTATCTTGTTCCCACCACTGGTTATCAACACTTGCTAGGACATGGTGAAAACCCGGTAAATGATACCAAAAAGTTTTCGATAAGTACACGTGAGCAAACGCTTAGAACTATTTACTATGGAAACATTTTGATGTTAGTACCTTGATCACTTTAAATACACATGGCGTATGAGAAATGAAGGAACAGGTGAGGGGTCAGGCAAACTGAAGTGTAGTGAGTCACCTGATGTTCCGAGGTGGGAGGGACGAAGTGTATTCAAGAAGCAAGTGTGCCATCGTGGTGGATATAACTTTCTACTTTTTGTAGCATATTATTTGTACTAATTACCAGCGTCTCCATAAATCTGGCGCTGATAACTAGCCGGGTTTTGCTTCATTTCATCAAATGTCCTTCAGTGTGTCTATGCTTCAAGCAAGCATTCCGTTGATCATAAAATTAAAACAAATATGAGACATTTAGATTTCTTTACTTCAAAACGTTTCACCTGACAAGAGAGGTAAAGAAGATGTGATCGATGAGTCAGTTAAGCTTGAAGTAGTATGACTCAAGAAATCGTAATGACACGATTGCAAATAAACCATACCCCCGGCCGGGATTGAACCCGCGGTCATAGAGTCTCAAAACTCCAGCCCGTCGCGTTAGCCACTAGACCAGCTAGCCACAATTGTGGCTAGCTGGTCTAGTGGCTAACGCGACGGGCTGGAGTTTTGAGACTCTATGACCGCGGGTTCAATCCCGGCCGGGGGTATGGTTTGAAGTAGTAGTTTGAGGTGGTCAAATTATTACTCAACCTGAAGATGTGTTCCTCCTCATAGTCTTAAACTTGAGTACATCATTATCCAAGACTATGAAGCTGAACAAACCTCCAGACTGAGGGACTCACCACCTTATACTACTTCTTCATTGCTGATGGACTTATCACATCATCTTCATCTCTCCATTTCTGCTTTCTCCACATTTAACTACTACAAATATGGAGAGAAACGCTTGGAAATAAGGATACCTGACTGATGGACATGCGTTTTACTTATCTTCTTGTCGGTACTGTATACCATCATTACATTAATAATCATCATCCCTGTTATTCTTGCATTTATATTCATTTTTCCTAATAGATTTCTTCCCCTGTTCTCAACGTGCTTTTTTATTACAATGTCTGCACGGGAGAGTATTAACACTAGCGGGAAATGCTGAGGAAACAACAGTAGTCTGCCATCTGGTGAGATCCTTAATGAATATGACAGTTATAGTGGCCACATTAATATCACTCTTGGGAGGTGTTCTTACGATATTATTTGCCACATTACCAAACAGGAGAACTAGGTACCGCTCTGTGGTGTGTTCTGAAGGTGTTGTATTTAAGATGGTCAGAACTCTTTGTTTTCACTTATGGATGAAAAACATGAGAAGGCTTTTGAAATATAAGAACATTTTTGCACAATGAATGCAGAATTAGATATATAGAGGACTCTCTAATAACAAAATCTCATAGAATCAATCAGCATGAACAGATAGAGATACAGAAGGATATTGAATGAAATAGAAGGAATCCCAGCTTTGTCATCAGTGAGCCAGACTTAAGGAGACGTCTGTCTTTAATAGCATCTTTGATAATGGTAACTAATATAGCAGTGTAAAAACCAAAACGTTTTTACATGCTTCGCATCGCCTACCTCAGCACACGTCCATCACGTGACCTCACAACAGTTCAGAGCATATTACACTCTCTTGTTCCTGGCGAACATATGCACTCGATTCACATCTTCTATGTCTCAGAACCTGACACTCTAAATATACATATTATAAAGTCCTAAGTGTAGATGAATGGTTTACAGAATCGAAATGTTGATAAATTAGACACATGTGCAACTCTTGGATATCTTTATTAAGGAAACGTTTCGCCACACAGAGGCTTCATCAGTACATACACAGGAGAAACTTGAAGAACAGGAGGAGAATGAGGTAATCAGTCCCTCAAACTTGAGTCGATGTGGTCAGTCCATCAATCTTGAATAGAATACGTCATATGAGCGGTGAAGCAGCTTATAAACCGTATGGCAGGAGAGGTGCAGCAGTCATAGGTGGTGTCACCTTTGTTCAATGTGGAAGTAGGTTGTGCCCAAGGGTTAGGCAAGCGAAGAATTCCCAAGTATTAAGATCCCAAGCTGCTTCACCGCTCATATGACGTATTCTATTCAAGATTGATGGACTGACCACATCGACTCAAGGTTGAGGGACTGATTACCTCATTCTCCTCCTGTTCTTCAAGTTTCTCCTGTGTATGTACTGATGAAGCCTCTGTGTGGCGAAACGTTTCCTTAATAAAGATACCCAAGAGTTGCACATGTGTCTAATTTATCAAAGTCCTAAGTCTTTGATTAACAATTATGATCATATCTTCCATCCCAAAAATATAGGGAAATTTATGCATCATAATAGTACACACTAAGCTGGTGAATTTAAAACTTATTTTCTGAACTGGATAAAGGCAATTATTACCAGCCATATTGGGAAAGCAATTAAGTGGTAATTAAGTTATTAACAATATTTGTTGATAACTTCACAATAATTTCATTAATGATAAGCAAGAAAAACTTAAGTATTTTGAACCATTAGCTGATATTTACTGAATTAACAACAACAATAATAAAATGGAGTCTTGTGTACCAGGATAATTATTTCAAAATATAAGAATGTGGATAATTTATTTTATAAGTTTTATTTTAACTGTTAATGACTTATATGTATACTTAAGACGGGACGGCAACAGATCTCTGGTAAACTGACTCGGAACAATGTAAATGATAACAGTTTAGAGAAAGTATAACATACTGGTGTAATATATACAAGTCTTAGGAGCAAAGTGTAGTGTAGCACACTAGTTGTGAAGTGCGGCACACTAGTTGTGTAGTGTGGCACACTAGTTGTGTAGTGTGGCACACTAGTTGTGTAGTGTGGCACACTAGTTGTGTAGTGTGGCACACTAGTTGTGTAGTGTGGCACACTAGTTGTGAAGTGCGGCACACTAGTTGTGTAGTGTGGCACACTAGTTGTGTAGTGTGGCACACTAGTTGTGTAGTGTGGCACACTAGTTGTGTAGTGTGGCACACTAGTTGTGTAGTGCAGCACACTAGTTGTGTAGTGTGGCACACTAGTTGTGTAGTGCAGCACACTAGTTGTGTAGTGTGGCACACTAGTTGTGTAGTGCGGCACACTAGTTGTGTAGTGTGGCACACTAGTTGTGTAGTGTGGCACAACTAGTTTGTGAGTTGCAGCACACTAGTTGTTGTAGAGAGGCACACTATTGGTGTTTAGTGGCACTACTAGTTGTGTATGTGTGGGATCACACTAGTTGTTGTGAGTGCGGCACACTAGTTGTGTAGTTGCAGCACACTAGTTTGTGTAGAGCAGCACACTAGTTGTGTAGTGCAGCACAACTAGTTGTGATAGTTGTGGCATCCTAGTTGTATAGTAGTCTGGTGGCACACTAGTTTTTGATGTAGTTGTCTACACACTAGTCTGTTAAAGTGTGGCACAAGTTTGTGATAGATGTGGCACACTAGTTGTTAGCGTTGCAGCACACTAGTTGTGTAGTGTGGCACATCTAGTTTTTGATCTCAGTTGAGCATCACCACTAGTTGAGGTAGTAGGCAGCACTACTATTGTGTAGTATGTGGCTACAGCTGAATGAATAGTGTGGCTACACTAGTTGTCATTAGTGCAGCACACTAGTTTGTGATAGTGTGGCTAAACTAGTTGCTGTAGTGCAGCACACTAGTTGTTTAGTGTGGCACATCTAGATTGTAAAGTGTTGCCACACTAGTTTGTGTAGTTCAAGCATAACACTAAGATATCTGTGAATGTTGTGCACACAAGTTGTGTTAGTGCATGGCACACTAGTTTGTGGTAGATGCACATCACTATGTTGTGTAGTTGGCAACACTAGTTGGGTAGTGTGGCACATAGCTTTGTAGTAGTGATCACACTAGTTGTTGTAGTGCAAGCACACTAGTTGTGTAGTGGTGGCACACTATTTGTTTAGTGCAGCAACACTAGTTTGTTGTAGTGCAGCAACTAGTTGAGTTGTTATTGTCGGCACACTAGTTGTGTAGTGCAGCAACACTTAGTTAATGTGAAGTTGTGGCACACATAGTTGTGTAATACACAGCACACGAGTATGTGTAGTGACAGGATCAACACTAGTTGGTAGTGAGTACACATCTAGTTGTGGTAGTGCAGCAACACTCTAGTTGTTGTAGTGTGCGCACTACTAGTTGTTGTAATGGTGGGCATCACTATTTGTGTAGTGTGGCACACTAGATGTGTAGTGAATGCAGCTACTATTGTGTCAGAGTGCTATGCACACTAGTTGTAGTTATGCGGCATCACTATTGTGTAGTGCGTCACCCTAGTTAGTTATAGTGTGGCAACACTAATATTTGCTAGTGGGCACAATAGTTGTTTTAGATGTGGCACCTCTATTGTGTAGTGCATGCAACAACTATATGAGTAGTGCAGCAACACTAGTTGTGTATTGCAGCACACAAAGTTGTGTAGTTCAGACAACACTAGTGTGTAGTGACTAGACACACTAGTTACTTGAGTAGTGAGCAGTCACAACACTATTTTGTGTAGACAGCACTCTTAGTTGATGTAGTGTGGAGCAACGCCTAGCTTCGTGTAGTGATCTGCCACACTAGTTGTTGTAGTGTGTGACCTTAGTTGTTGTAGTGTGAGGCACACTAGTTGTTATATGTGGCAACAATCTAGTTTTGTGGTAGTGACTGGCACCTAGTTTTTGTGTAATTGGTGGCACACTAGTTGTGCTAAGTGTGGCACACTAGTGGTAGTTTGGCACATTAGTTATAGTGTAGTGTGGCACACTATTTTTGTGTAGTTTGTCTGGCACACATATTGTGTAGTTTGCACAACACACTAAGTGTGTGTAGTGTGCACACATAAGTTGTCTGTAGGTTCGGCACACTGTTGTGTATGTAGGCACAACATAGTTGTTGTAGTGTGGACACACTATGT